TAATAATTTTTCACAAGATTTGCTGGGTCTAGAACAAGGGCTCTGCCCCCTACTTTTCTTTTTCATTTTCTTCTTTTATTTTAGTATTTGTTCCCTATGTATTGTTGATCTAAAATAGGAGCTCTACCCCCTTCAGTTCTTTCAAGTTCTAACTTTTAACTTGTAAGTTGCAACTCATAAAACCAATAAAAACTAGTTCAAAAGAGGTAGAAATCATCGGCAAGCCTTAGTTTTAAATTCCATCGCCTAGGCGAGGGCTAGGCACCCACCTAGGCACCTGGGCGTCCCATGGTCGCCTAGCCTCGCCTTGGCGCCTTGAAAACTATGTTCCTAACATAAGATTGCTGAAAAACGATAGGCATTGTACATAAAATATAGATTATGTTGAGTCCCATGGTTCAAGTAAAGGAGGGAAACAATACCTAAAACATGAGATTCTACCAAAGTGAGGTGAGACAAACAACATACAGAYGATGTTGAGTTCCATGGTTCAAATAAAGGAGGCAAAACAATACCTAAAACATGAGATTCTGCCAAGGTGAGACAAACAAACTTCCCTCCTGATTTCAAAACTCTCTTCACCTGGCAAAAGTGTAGTCCACCATATGAATCCAACAGAAATAATTGTAGACACTGTAAGGTCTTGAATTCATTTTATGAGAACATGAAAAAGATAAATGCATATACTTTTTTTTTKATCAATAAGATAAATGCATATACTCAAGATTCAAGTCCAAGGGACCTCTGATAAATATCGACTCCCGAGCTTAGTCCCAAGCTCCGGCTCCATTAGAGCATCCAAGCCTCCTTTATCAAGAACAGCATCAAAACTCCCATCTAAGAACTGGTACAGTAAAAGTGGTGAGAGAAAAAAAGATATTGTACACAGAAACACTATTCAAAAAAGGTATAGAACAAAAGCATGACATTAGACATTAAGAAAAGACGGGGAAATGCAGGAACCTATAAACCACCCTTTTCTTCACAACTAAGCATGTTAGAAGCTAGCTCACCTTTTCTCTTACTATACTAATCTATCTGCCCATTCTTTATCTATTGGAAGATAGGAAAACAGAAGAAGTCATAAGTACAAAAAAGCTACAGCACTTATCCAACTATGAATCATTTGGCATAAATGAAATAGATAATAGATATACAGTTCTACATGAAAAGAATGAACTGCTAAATATCACTATTGAAAACAAAAACTTCTTGAGACATCCAGATGGCAAATTCTGTATTTGTCRATCAGTGTGTAATGATAGAAACCTTGAAACCACTTTCACCACACTGGTACACCGTCCAAGGAAGAAGAGATGAAAAAAGGAGATCTTCAGACAAATTAACCTACTTGCAAAAAAAAAAAAATCAATTCCAGTTTTAGTTGGTTAAAAGGGAAGCAAATAGCTTGGCAGATACTCTAGCAAAGCAGCTGATAGACCGAATTTATTTTGGGCAACTTTGTAATATGTTGTAACCTGGGTCATTTAAAGATGATTTGCTTTATACTTTCAGAGTAACTTATAATTAATTAAAGGAATTTACTTACTGATCAAATAAAAAGAAAAAAGGAGATCAGATCTTCCAAAAAATAAATAACTAGCTAATTGCCTAGAAAGACACAAGTCCCTGTAAGGGAAAAGAGTATGACTTGCAAGAAAGCAACCATTGTATAATGAGCCTAAGCTAAAAATAGAGCCATTCACATTTGCCCTTCGCCAAGTAGGATATATCACCTAATTCTAATTAAAATCAAGTTTAAGTGTTTAATAAAGCAAGAGGTCTTCTTTTTTTTCGTTGTTGTTGTTGTTTTTGTGTGTTTGGCAGGGGGTATCCTAGACTGCAATACTAAAATAAAACTTTCCTTAAGGCTATGTTTGGTTTGAAGGAAAAGTTAGGGAAATGTAGGGAAACCTTTACAAACCTTGTATAGTTTTCCCTGCCTTTCCCTTCCTTTCCCTACTTTTTCCTTCAAACCAAACACAGCCTAAAAGTTGAAACCACTGTCCTACTTGAGGGTTGATACCTGATTATGGCAATAATGATGAAGACAGTGATAATAATAGCAAGGTTGAAATTACAAATTCTGGAATAATATTAACATCATTGTTCCTGATTTTTATGATATTGGGATCACCATTATATTTATCTTCTTTTCACCATTACTAAAGCAGTAGTACTTATTCAAGTAAGTTATAAACAAGGGATAAATACAAATTTGAAAAGATAGAGGTAAAAGTGCCAAAAAAACACTTTTTAAATGAATCCAAAGAATTAAGCCTACTTTTCAAGGAGGTAAYACTAGAGGGGAAAGACCAGAAATTAGGGATCATCCATGACAAGTGCTGTTTTCAGTCTTCTGTTTTATGTTTTTACTCTGTTTCTCTGATTTTTTATGTCCTTTAGCTCYTTCCTACTGTAGTGTTAATGGAATTTATGGGTGCTCTATGTAAGGCACTTGGGCCACAAAGCCTGTATATTCCTTGTACACATCCACTTTTTTTTTCTTTTAATAATCTTCTATTTTAGGTTCATTTACTTAGACACCCCCTATAGTTTCACGTATTTACTAAAACCTATCCTCTAGTTTGCATATTATTAAAACATCCATATAGTGTGCAACCCCTTAACTTATTTGACCTTCTATAAGGAACTATTTATATTTCATATAGAAATGGTCAAATGACCTTTTAAAACAAGTGGAAATGTGAAAGGGCATGGGTTCAGGGTTTCTTATTTCAAAAATACCCCTAGTAGTTCTCACATCAACATTTTAGAAACAAAACCCTTGGTCTGAAGAACTTGGAGTACACGTGTGTTAAGTCCTTGAGTTTGTTGGATTGGGAACAGGTTATTAAGATACTCCCAGACACAGCTTAAAAAAATAATAATAAAGAAGAAAAAGGGCTTTCTTATAAGCCCAGTCAGTCCTATTGGTGGGCTGAAACATTTTAATAAAGAAAGGGGCCTGTAGTCTAGTTTAATGAACAACAGGCCTCAAGTTAATTGGGCTTGTTTGTAATGCAATAAGCATTTAATGGGCCTGCAGTAAAGCCCATTTAATGGAACAACAAGCCCTAAAAAAATAAATCCACATTAATTAATTAATTGTGAGGTGTCCCATTTATTTATAAGGGGATGCCACTTGTCCTATTCTAACAAGAAGGCTATTTTTCCTCATTTAACCACTTGAAGTGGGGGAACACATGTCACCCTAGGGGAGAGAGTTATTTTGCCTCCTCTAACCACTTTAAATGGGTGGACACATGTCACCCTAGGAAAAAGGATTTATTTTCCCTCCTTTAACCACTTGAAGTGGGGGGACACATGTCATCCTAGGGGAGAGAGTTTTCTTCTCCCTCCTTTACCCACTTTAAGTGGGGGGGACACTTGTCACCTTAGGAAGGAAGAGTTTTATTTTCCCTCCTTAACCCATTTTTAAGTGGGGTGGCACTTCGCACTCTAAGAAGAGAGGAGTGGGAAGTTACTTAACCACCTCCCTCCTCTATATAAACCCCCCTCCTACAAGGAGAAGGGGTTAATGCCTCTTTGTTGGCTAATTCTATTCAGCTGATAGAATTTACAGCAATAAGAGACAAACCAAAGGAGGAAGAAGAAAAGATTGTGGTGTGGAAGAAAAGGGAGAAGARGAGAAAGAAGAATGTAGGGGTTGCAGTATTCCTCCTCCACCTCTTCATTATGATACTCCTACAACTTCCTTTATTAGACTTATGTCTTTCCTTCTACTCCTTTCACACACTTTCCTTCTTTGTTGTTATTATTTCCTTTTTTTCTTCTCCTTGTCTCATTTTAATCATATGTGAGGGAGACAACCATCTAYAGCCTTATTCATGAAACTTGRTTGGTTATGGTTCCTCACAACCTATTAACCTATTATGAGGGGGAAAACCATCTACAACCTTGTTCATGAAACTTGGTTGATTATGATTCCTCACACCATGATAAATGCACATAATTACAATTTAAAGACCATTTGCAGCCTTATTGATGAAACATGACTATTTATGATACCTATTTACTTGTTATGTATAAAACGTTTATTTATTTATTTGTTAGTTTTCTCTCAAACAAAGAGGGAATATATACCAGAATTTTCAAGGAAAATTCTGTACAAAAATGATACTTAGTTTAGTCTATTCGTTTGTACTTCTGAATCAGAATCAAAAGGTTTTCTCTGCCCCTAGCAGAGATGTAATTAAGGGAATATTTATGTGATTTCCTAAATGGGGCTTACCCAAATAACAAAAAAAAAACCCAATTATTAGTCTAATTGGGTGAATTATGTTATGTGAGAAATTATACTAAAAAATTCCACTAACAATGTGATATGAGAATTTGCTAGGGGTATTTTTTGGAATAAAAAAATCCTGAACCCATGCCTTTTTCACATTTTCCACTCCTTTTATGAGACCATCAGCCATCTAACCATTACCAGATGGAAATCCAATCATTTTTTATAGAAAGTCAATTCAGTAAAGCAGTTGCAAACTATAGGGAGCGATTTAGTTATATGCAAACTGTAGGGTATGTTTCAGTAAATACGTAAAACTACAAGGGGTGTCTTTTTTATCAGCAACACAAAAACTGAATTTTATTAAGGATAACAAACAACAGAATACAACAAAAAGTGAGAAAAGGCAAACCCTTTACAGAATCAACCCCCCAACTGAATTACAAGTGCCCAAAACAACTGCTGTCTCTGAACACCCCTGCTTAGCAAGACTGTCTGCAAGCCATTAGCTGATCTTCTTATCCATCTAATTTGAACATTCATATCTTCTGAAAGCCATTTAAAGTGCTGGAACTCATTTCTCAACTGCCAAGTCACCCCTACACCTTTTTTCAGCCAACCCACTACAATCTTCAAGCCACCTTCACAGTGTTTTAAAAGTACAATGTGCAAAAAAAAACGCAAGGGGCAATTTGCACCCAAGGGGAGTACAACCCCCTATTTGCTAATGTTGTTGATTCATTCATTTTAATAAAATATCTTCTTAAAAGGCAAYTAAAATTATAAAATAATTTTTTTGTGTAATGATTAAGAATTTGAGATCCTAACATGGACTTGTTTGGGCTTGCCTCAAGGGGGCTTGGCCAGGGTCCTAGGGGCGGAGCCCCTAGCCCAGCCGCTAGGTTCAAAAAAGAACAAAAAGCACAAAAAATAAAATAAAAAAAAAAAGAAACACGCATGGGCTGAAGCGCAAGGCGCACCAGGAGCACACCTTTTGAAAGTGTTGACCTTGGGGCCTCGGCAAGGCACATACCTTAAAATGCACCTCACTTGAGCGCCTTAGGCGTGCCTTTTAAATCAATGCACCTTCAATGATCAGCCTACCAACTCCCATTTCCTTAGCTTTCTCAATCCCAAAGAGTGTTGCTASGAAATCTGCTCCTGCTGAATCACCTGCTCAATTGGGCCTGACAACAAGGCACAAATAGCACCACCCTCATCTCTAAGTATTCCAAAAAATTCCTGAGGGACCTAGGCTATCCACACCGCTACCATATTCAGTTTCAACCATCCTTCTCCTGGAGGTGGCCAAACCTCTAATATTTTTTGTTTCCTGGAGGAAGAGTTAGCTATAGCCAACCAACTCCTAAAAAAGTTCACCTTGAAATCCGAGAAGAGTTTCAAGGTCTTAACCCARTGAAGTGAGCAATTCTAAGGGCAATGGTCTCTATTCACCGTCTCCTCTCCTTTCTCCCCAAAGATTCTAGTATTTCTTTTTTCCGAACCCGTCCAGACCACTGTTGYTCATGTACATCTCCATAGGATCCTACTCCTCCTCAACACAGTAGGGCTAAACAAAGCCAGAATATTGATCCCAAAAACATAGCCATTGTTACAATACAGCCCAGAAAAGTTCACTACTGGACACTAGAGGCCCTTGCACTTCTCACCAAGTTGAGACAGCCATTGGCATCCCTTTTCCGGATACTCCATCTATAGCTTGCATAAATTTCGAATAGACAAAAAAAAACCTAAGAAGTAGCATTAATATTTTCTTAAAGAACTTCTTATACAAGCYTAATTCAATAACAGATTTTATCTGGTCATGCAATTGCAACTCATTACGCAGCTTGGACCCAAGAACCTGGACAAATGAGCAACAGCACCTTAGCTGCACTCAAACTCACAATTGGACTCCGAATTCCAAAGAGGAACCAATAAGTCTGTACCCAAATTGACCTTACCCTTACAGACCACGCTAAGGTTCTTCACCACCCAAAAACTAAAAGAGATAAAATGAAATGGCAAACAAATAAAGGGAAACCAGAAAATAGCTGGATTGTATGGTTTGCAAAGGAACCTGCATCTGGGTCATGTCCGTGACGCGCCACCGCATATCGGGCCGAGACCGAACATTACGACGCAACATGTCGGAGATGACAACTTTCGAGAAATCAATGTTGGTGATGCCACGGAACCCGGCATCATATAAGTGTTCCGAAAGCCGAGAGTTGCCACACCCGGGAACCAATATCTGCAGCGAAGATGCTGCAGTCGCCGCCGATGGAGTTCCGGCAACATCTTGTGTTTGGGCGTCGAAGCTGGAGAGCTCCGAAATGAGAGGATACCGGAGACATGGCCACTCGGCGTACCACTCGAAGGAGTCATCACTCCCTCTGATACTGAAGAATTTGTCCCAGTTCTCTTTGCTCGTGAAGTCTCCTAGAGTGTTGAGTAACTCATCTGCTCCGTGCTTCCTTTCCATCTCTCCCTTCTCCCTTCTGGTTCTTCCCCCTTGTCCCAAGGGTTTTGAAAGGGTTTTAAACTTTTAATCGTTGGATTAAATCATTTAACTTCGATTAATACAAAGTGGCGTTGCGTCATACAAACGTCCGAAATCCGG